CCTCTCCCGTCGGCTCCGCGATCCCTCCGTACACGGCTTCCTCTTCGTTTGCTCTTCCCGGACGCGTCGGCTTCGTTATCGCGCTCTCGCGGCTTACCGTTCTGAACGAGAATCCAACCCCAGAGGGGTTTTTGGGAAAAAGTGAATATCGGTAAAGATACAAATGTAGGCATCGAGTTAGATCTGGACATAGGTTTATGTTTGCATACATATAGATTGCAAGATGCAAATATGGAGATGAAAACGAATATAGATATAGATACAGGCATAGATCTATGTCTGTATAAAATCATAGACACAATATCATAAAAGGTGCATGCATGAAAGTTGTTACACCTTGAGATAATTCCGTCTCGGCCGGTGGATTCCGCTCCCGACCTCGACAGAAATAAATCTAGATCTAGATACAGATAGAGATGTACATGAAAAAGAATCCAGACATAGATATAGATATAAATCCAGATTTAGTTATGCATACATATAGAAAAATACACATATAGATATCTAGATAAAAATAGAGATACAAAAAATGAACATACGTGTGAATGGAATATATTTAACATCACATAGGGTGCATTTGGGAATGCTGTTGCACCTTGAAGCGATTCCTATGGTTTAGGGTTTATGGATTTTAAGATTTAAGGGTTGAGCGAACGCAAAACGAAACATATTAAGTAATTAGTTCTTTGGGTTCTCGTTTTTTTAAAAAAGAAACGTCCCTACAAGATTTTCTTTACTTTTGATTATTCTAGACACAAGGGCGAATAGATTACAGGACACAATGACGAACGGGGGACGCCGAAATAAAATTGAATCTCAAATTTTCGTTTTTGTTTTTTTCTTTTACACTTCGCTGAAACAAATTTGTTTCGGGGATTGTCGTTTTTGTTTTTCCAGCGCGTTGCTTCGTTTGTATATTCGTCTGTTTGCTCGTCCGTCCGTTGGTCCATCCGAATGGACGCCGGCGAGATTTGCGACAACGAACGCTTTAAAAGAAAGGGCCGGAGCCCTAAAGGTCAGAGAGGGTTGCCTAGGGCGCCAACTTTGGAAGCCAATTTTGGTAATTTGGACTTTGGAGGCCAAATTTACGCTTTGGAATACAATTTCGGGCGTTTGGAAGGCAATTTTGGGCTTTGGAAAGTAAATTTTGTGCTTTGGGAAGCAATTTTAAGCAATTTTGGGCGTTGGAAGGCAATTTTGGGCGAGATTTGCGGCAACGAACATATTAGGGTTAACGGCCGGAACCCCTTATTTTCTCATGAGGGTTGATTAAGGCGCCAGCTACGCTAGCGGACCCTAAACCCTAAGCCCTAAAGGGTTCTTAATCCTTAACCCGTTACCCTTAACCCTAAATCGTCCTTATAAACCCTATAAATCCTAAACGTTAAGGGTTTGAGCTAAATCCTGGAGGTCTTAGGATTTATAAATCTTATAACTCTAAATCCTTCGGTTTTGGGGTTTAAATAAGGTTAGGGTTTAAGATTCAGGGTAAACAGATTTAAGGTGAAATCTATAAGACTCAGAATTACAAATCCTAGGGTAACCCTAAATCCTAAAGGGTGTACAAGATTTATATGGTTTAGAAGAATAAGGTTTCTAAATCTTAAACCTAAATTCTAAGGCTCTCAACCCTATGCAAATGGACGAGTACCGCTTATACCATCATTTGCAAAAAATTAAATTTTGGAGCGACATCCATTCACTCGCCGCAATAGAGTGGTGGCAAGATATGTGGTCATCTGTATCTATATTCATTTAAGTGTATGTATAATTGCCATTAAAGCACAAGAAATGCAATGAATTTTGGTCCTTTATACGATCAAGATACACGTTCTTTCGGGATTGTATTTCAATTTGCTTTAACTTTTCCGCGGATTCAACTATATAACCAAAGGGTTAGTTCAAACATGCAATCAACACAATGGACCCCTGGAGAGTATGCTATTTTCGACGGAAAAATATAGTCATATTAAAAGATCTAGATATTTCCATAAATCAATTTTGTTAGCTTCTTTTTAGGCTACACGGTAAGACACTTCATCAACTTACGGTCCCGATACTTATGACTTCAATTTCCTTCACCAATTGCTGTATCCAAAGGCTTGTATGTTCATAAGTGTCTGTATTGTGAATGTATATTTCTGCAATATATATATTATCAGTGTTCCGGTCAAAATTGTTTGGCCTGCGTTCCAATAGCCATGCTCGAGGGAATTACCAAAGAGGCGCCCTCACATACTTGTATTTTACGCAAAAAAATTGGTACAGACATAAACAGTTCTTAGTCTGGCCACATACAACAAAAGAAACTTATACAAATGGATGAGTTTCATTTGCACCATCATTGTAGAATTTGTATTTTGGAGCGACTGCATACATACATAAATATATGGTCTCGTGTCGCGTGTCGGCACCCCCCACCCCCCTGTCCATAGTACCCCCCCCACACCAACCTTTGATGGTTAAGCCCGAAATCCTCGCAAAGGGTCGTAGCTCAAAAGTGCCAACAGTCACACCTGGCGTGTTCAATGCGGCGACACTTCTCTGGACGGGCCACGGTTTTGGTCTGCGCTGTGCCCAGCTGCTGGCACTCAACTTTAAACCCGTTCATATCCATGCACCTAAACCCTAAACTCCACCACCCACACCACAAGCGGCGCAGGGGTGCAAACCCTAAACCCAACAACCACCNNAAACCTGAAACCCACAACCCACTGCACAAAAGGGGGACCAGGGCGGGGTTGAACAACCCATGTCAACAACCCCACCACCCGCAGCACAGGGCGGGGCTGGAGGAAGCATACTAGGGGTTCTAACAGGGGGACGTCCGCGTGGACCGCAACTTGAAAACCATCCAAGTTCACTGAACCCAGACCGAAAAGAAACTTCACTGCCTTCACCTCACAATCTGATTCATATCTATCTATAGACCTGAACCCTAAACCCCACCACCCACACCACAGGGGGCGCGGGAGTGCAAACCCTAAACCCAACACCCACCACCACAAACTTTAATGCTTCTGGTGTGCAACACCTCAGACGGGCAGTCGTGCTAGCCATGCGCTGCCTTATTTTTGGGCCTTGGAGTGTCCCTATACAAGGATTGAGACTAGTGTGTCTTTTACAAAATACATCCATACTCAAACCTAGCTGCGGCTGACTCGCCTTCGTTGTCCACATCAAATCTAGCTAACTGACAGACGAGCCTGTTTCGTCGCCTTCCAGTCTGCTACTTGATTCGAACGCAAGGCTGCGGTTTGCTGTCAAACGTATTTCCCCCCTTGATCCGGATGTTAGGGGGTAGAAAACCCTAAACCCGCAAAAGGTCGAGATATGGATATGTACGCTTATACGCAGGATTAGCGGTTCGGGTGCTCTAATACCAGCCAGCCCCTCTCCCTGAAACCCCTAAACCCTAAACCCCGAAACCCCTAAACAACCAGCAAAGAAATTTGGAGATACAATTACGTTACCATCGTATGCGTGGCTGTGTGAATAGGCACAGGAAGTGAAGCTATTTAGGAAGGTAGTAGTGCTTGACAAGCATCGGATGGGGATGTACTCGTAGAGTTCAACAAACCCTACCGAACATGCTGTTATGCCGAGAAGTGATTTTTTGTTGAAACTCGCCTTCAATCCCGTCTTTTACGGCTGTAGTTTTGGAAGAGGGATACGGCAAAGATCACAGCAAGAACCGCTGTACTACCAAGCCTGAAGAGCACCACACTGTACCCACACCGCCAATGCCGGCGTCATTTTGAGCAAGCATCAGAATTGCGCATGGGGCCACGTGACGGATGTGGGGCGCGACATCGCTGTATTCTGTCCAAGACGTTCTCAAGGCTCACTTGCGTTGAGGTGGGATTTCGGCTTGCAGGATTTTGATGCCTTCTTACGAAAGCTGGAACACAGTTACAGAAAGGGGCTGAAAACACAGAAACCGGTTAGCGCAAAGTGTGCTTGTAAAAAGACATTCACCTGAGTTCACTCAATGATAACTCGTAGCGATGGGATGTTGACTTGCTGTGAGCCGAGCAGCTCGCCATGCACAGAGGAATGCTTCGAGGTTCGGAACTGGGGTCCGGAGCTTGGCCTAGAGACAGAACGGAATGCAACAAAGGACAAAACCAGCGGCTTGCCAATTTGCAATTGCCCTGAAGCGCCCGGCCTTTTGCTGGCTGCTAAATCTCGCAGCTCTTTGCAACGGACCGAATGTCCTGCGACTTCTTCAAGCAAAGGCCAGGAAAGATCAAGATCTCGAGAGACAGGGAGCGCGAGTAGCTCGACGTGTCCGACGGATAAACGAACATGGCAAACTCACCAATTGGCCAAGCTGGATCATGCTTTGATAGTTGTGGCGTGGCGCCGGTGAGATGTGCTAGGTCTGACCACATTTCAACGGCAAACCACGAGCTCAAAAGCACCATTGCCAATATGACCCTGCAGTAATATACCAACGGTGGGGCTCCCTGAGCTTCCGGATGCTGGCTCTCGGATCCATCTGTGCGCCAGAGCCCATGTAGAATCATGATTGTCAAGGGCACCTGCCGAATAAAGTTTGGGCCGAAAAAGACATAGGCTCCCAGGAGAAAACCAAGGACAAGCGAACTCCATATCGTAAGCGTCCACCGCGCAACCTTGGAACATGGTTTTCCGGCATCGATGGAAAGGACGAGCAACGGCCCCACGAACTCGACAAGCATGCAGCCGAACGAAAAGAGGGCGGCCGCCAAGGGCGTGTGTGCCACCCAAGCATTGAAGCCAGGAAATATCGAAGGGAAATCTAACAAGTCCTCCCGGATCCAACTCCCAGTAAGAACTGCTATCCAGCCAGCGTACCGCAGCTTCGCGAAGCCTGCTGCAAGGTAGTATGGCGCCAATATGCTCATGACCAGGAGCTTCCACAACCATGCCTGCGCAGAAGCATCTTCAGCATCTGCCACCACGAAGACAGCACCTACCACGAAGAAATACGAGGAGCACACGCTGGTGGTGGGCGCAAACATCATGCTCAGGCTGCCAAAATAGAAATACATCGCCGCTCCCGAAGCATAGCACGCGGGGGAGGTCATTCTCCAGGTGCATGGTGCGACCAGGAAGATGCACCAGGCAGCCAGCAGCGTGGCTCGAAACACAGCATGAAAAGAGGCATAGCCATCAGCGGTGTTGTCGTCCAGATCTGGCATGAACAAATAGGTGAGTCGTGGCATTAGATGGGGCGAGTCTGCGAGTCCGTGACCGTCGAATAGCCCCACCTCGTCCTTGGTGCTTCGCTGTACTTTACATAGGAATTTTGACATGACGGAACACAACATTACAACAGTATACAGAAGGCAGCAGAGCTTCTCCGGGCCCATAGGGGTGTCTTCGCACTCTTCGCAGAATTTCTGGCAGGGAGAGAACTGAGACCAGCGGCGATGAGGCACCAAGCAGCTCGATGAGCAGCAACATGCACACGTAAACTTTCAAGGAGATCACCGAGAGTCTCGGGCCGCGATGCCACCAGGCGGTAAGCTTGTCGAGGTGGAAGGATGAATTGCTTGCTGCGGGCAATCCAGGGCGCAAGACCCCAAAAGCTGTGCAGAGAATGACGAATGGCACAAACCAGCAGGAGCCGATGCCAAGCATGCTCTCGCGCATGTCTTGCGCTGCCATGATTGTGACCCGAACCGACAAACCATCAGCAGCACATAAACGCGGGAAAATGGAGCAAAATCTCGGGCGAGAGGCTTTCCACTCCGCCCACTGCGGCTCCACCAGTGCCGGCGCCCATTTCCCGGGCTCCTGGAACGATTCACCTGCGTGTCATTTCCAAGCTCGCGATTGCTTTCATGCACCCACAGTTTTCCGAACTGATTACAGTGAAGAGCCTCTGTACGAACCTAATGCTCACATTTGGAATAACCTCTGCCTGCGAGTCTGGTTTTCAGGGAAAGGCTCGGTCGGCTGAAGGATGTGCACGGCTGGATGCTCGCTGCCAGAAACCAGATGCAAACACTCCGAAGTGGCCATGGCTTCGATGGGTTCATTTTCATATGCAGTGTCTAGAATCTAGAAGCATGGATAGGCTCGGTGAGGGGTTTCACCTCGGACCTGAGCCGCGGTATGGGAATAGGAATACCATGCCAGCCTTCATGAAAGGATAATTTCAACATACTGCCAACAGTGACCGCGCAGGCAGCACAGACACAGTGCGCCTTCGGGCGCTTGTCCTTTCCTCAGGGATTGCGGACCTCGATCGCGACGTTAGGGACCTGCTTCGGAGAATGCATGCAGGCTGGAACCGAGCGGCAGAATCAAGCTCATGATGGCGTCATGGCAATCGAGATTTGCCACCAAAACGCGACCAAACATATTTCTCGGCTAGGGCCTGCGGCTACATCCACTGGTCCCCTCCATCTCCTGCGAAGAGCACGATGCTGGTACTGTGGGCAGGGAGGCAGCAACTCCATCATCAAGTTCAATTCTAAGCCAACGACCTACTCAAAAAAAAGCTTCAACACCTGATTCGATGTCCCACCGGTGCCCAGCTGCTTTGGCGATAACCTCGATAACTACTAACTACTATCTTGCCACTGAGCAGAATCAACGTTTCGAGATGTTGCCATACATATCATCTGCACTCAATCATCGTGACACCAACTTCAGGGAATGCACGAAACGAATGACGACGACAGTCTCGCCACAGTCACATAAAGGCGCTTTCAAAGCTGCGCAAAGCCCTCCCTCCCCCGGCAATTCTTGGGGCCGCGCCTTTCGGTGAAGTTCATCCTCACCCTGGGCACGACTCTGCCTGCTCGCCCTTGACAGCGGAGGCTGGCCGTGAGATGTCGGAACAGACCTTGCTGGAGAGCGCCACCGCAATGGCAATCTCAAGGCACAGAGAACCGAAATAGTTGGTCGATGCGGAAGTCCAAGTAAACATGGACATTTCCGGCAGCGGCCATTGCATGTCGTGATGAGAAGAACTAGGTGTTGCACCGAAAATATGGTCGAAGTCTGACCACAGCTCATTGCACATCCAAAGGACCAGCAGCGTGGTTGCAAAGCTCACCCTCCGTGCCCAAGAACTCATTTGCTCAGGATCAATGGCTTCGGCATCGCTGCTTCTGACCGGATGCCAAACGCCGTGCAGAAGCATCATCAACAATGGAAGTTGTCGCGCGAAATTGGGACCAACGATCACGATGCAGGCGATGTGAAAGAGGGTCGTGAAAAGGATCCAGCAAGTCCGCAACCAGCAGGCCAAGCCAGAGTGCGAACCTGCTAGAAAGAGCACCGAGAGAGGAAGCAAGAACTCCACCAAGAGCACGCCGAAAGACATGACCGCTGCAACCACAGGAGTCTTCACGACCCATTCGACGAAGCCTGGAACTGCAGATCTGTCTGAAGCGCTTTGCAAGACTTGCGTCAACCAGCTGCCGGAGAGCACGGGGCCCCAGCCTGCGTAGCGGAGCTTGGACAAACCCGAAGATAAGTAGAATGGAGCGAGCGTGCTGACCATGAGAAACATACCAAGCCAGGCCCGTGCCCTCGGGCTCTTCAAAGGCAAGATGCAGGCTGCCGCCACAAGGAACAAACAGGTGCAAACAGAAACGCAATATGGCTGATACATAGTTCCCAAACTCGCCATGACCACATAAACCACGACTCCCCAGACAAAGCAGGCCCAAGAGGACGCCCAAGCCATTGGAAGCACAAGGAAAGCGCACCACGACACCAGCAGGGATGTCCGCAGGATCGAGAACACCGAGGCGTAGCTGTCTGCCGTAGCATCGTTTAGGTTTGGCATGAAGACGTATGTTAGACGGGGCATTAAGCCTGCATCCCCATCATCGCCACAAGCGAAGCCCCATCGCAAGCCAAGCTCCGGTGTCCTTCCGTAGGGGTGCGCGCGCACTCGTCGGATCGTCTCGGGCAAGGTGAAGACATCCGACTGCGGCGCCTGCAAGCCCAAGAGTTCTATCAGCAACAGCACCGTAAGGAAGACCTTCAGTGATGCCGGCGTGATCTGCGGGCCACAGCTCCACCAATCGATGCAGGAAGCTGGTCCCTGCCGGCAGGGCCCCACTGCGGCCTTGTCGACTCTGTCTTGGGAAAGGAAGAGAAGGCCGAAGGCTGCGCAGGGGAGGACGGCCAGCACACACCAGGCGGAGCCGATGCCAAGCATGTTTTCCAACATGTCCGCCGTGGCCATGGCTGTGACCTTGAAGGCGGTGGCGGTGGAATCCGGGCAGAGCCCACGAAAAAGCGAGCAAATGCGTCGATGGGAGCGCTTCCACTCCGGCCACTCTTGCTCCGCCCATGCGGCGGGAGCAACATCGTTCGGAGCAAAATCATGCCGCACTGCCGATGCTGACTTGACCTCCAGCTGAAAGCTAGGCCTAGGCCGGCTGAAGGCAGCGCAGAAGGAGCTCATCGCCAGAAAAGCAAACCAGAAACAAACCGGAACACGAAGCATCGGGAGCACCGCGGCGAGGCTCTCGGCAATATGAAAGGTTCAGTGTACTGAGGCGAGGGATTTACCGCCACAGGCACGGATTCCAAGGCGCTTGTACGGTTTGCAACACAATGTCATGTGGCTTTGTTCTTGCAGATTCTATGGCACTGCGTTGCAATGCAAGTTATCAGCTGAAACAGCTCTTGAGGCCACGTCGGCATGTTGATGGTCTAGAACGCCTCCGAGCCGTTTTCGAATTGAGGAAGCAGCTCCGCACCCTCTGCTCAACACTCAGCATGGAAAAACTGCTGACGGTGTCCCTGAGCCCTACATCCAATTCCAAACACCTTTGCATTCAACAGGACAGACTCACTCACCTTCGAAGGACTGATAAAACCTCATAATATTGAAACAGTTTCTACATCTTTCAGAACTTTAGAACGTCTAATTCAGGCAACTGGAAAAAGTAAGCACTAGAAACCTATATGCCAACAGTCGACCAGGTGCGGACGTCAAGCAGCAATCCAAAACTTGCACCAAGTATGAACACAATCTGGCGAAGTCCCAGAACCCTTCATGCAACTCCAACACAAGGCCTCGTCTTCGCAGCCCTGAGACGGCCATCTCGGTGACAATTTCTATCGACATGTCTGTCTGTTTCCACAAGCATTATTACCCCAATCGGCGCCTGAGATCCTTTCACTGACAGTGTTCCCGATGCCCCGATGTTGGGTGGGTGGGATGTTAGCACTTCGTGGGCCCTTGCAGCTGCAGGGTGCCTACTGTAGTACGAGAGAGCATCTCGAGCTCTTTTCTGGTGATGTTGTTGGCTCCGGCCGCTGTCTTCTGCAGTCTAGTCGCGCACTTGGCTTGCCGTATGTTCAGTTCGGAGTTGAGTCGGATGATGCCTTCTGCGTGTCAACCAACTCATGGCACCCTTCTGTTTGAGCCAAGAAACGGTGGCCCGAAAACCGACAACTAACATGAGCACATTATTCGACGAGGCAGAGCCCCAGCTTTCGCCACACTGGCAGCTCGGCTTCGGGTTCACTTGGGCACAGATTGGTTGAGGTTCGAGTCGGTGGTTGTGCTCTGGGCGGTCTTTTTCAGCTTGGGTTCGGAGAACGGGGGTTTCCCGGTTCCGGCGGGCGGCACGGGGGTACTCCTCCTTGCTTGCTTTACGTCGCAGCACTCAGGCGCTTCGAACTAGTGAATCGGTCCTCGCTAGCTACTGCAAACCTCACAAGTAAGTCCTTCAAGACACAATGCGGGGTTCGACTCACATGACCCAGCAGACCGGGTTTAGAAATTTAAACGGGAAGGAGAAAAGGCACGCAAGGACAAGCTGTAAGCTCAAGTCAAATCAATTCGTACATGAGCCCGGGACAGAAGTGCAGGTTTCCATGCCGTGCAGCATCTCAACGAATTTGCTTGCGAAGCGCGCTTTTTCGCGAGGGTTCCACGATAGCAATTAGGCCATCTGTGCACAAAGGGACGGACTATTTCGCCGCAGCCGTTCACGATGTTCACTTCCTGATGCAAGCGCCAGCTAAGGAGTTGAGGATGTGCTTTCTTTGGACTTGATAATCATGACCGCGAGGAACGGTCTCCAAGCTAGCCGAGCGGAGCTGACGGTTCAGCGCAGCACCCGCGTTCTGAGCACATCCAGGGCAAAGCACGGCAATGCTGTTTGAGTTTGCGCTTCCCTGCATCGAAAGCACGGTGACGGCTGCTTGAGTTTGCGCTTCCCTGCGTCGAAAGCACGGCAAGGCTGCTTGAGTTTGCGCTTCTCTGCATCGAAGGCACGGTGACGGGTGCTTGAGTTTGCGCTTCCCTGCGTCGAAAGCAGACACGAAGCCCGGAACAGTGCGCTGCACTGCCAACGTGAAGTCATCATCGCGCCAGTCACAGCTTCGTCTCCGTCACGCACGACGATGCCCTGTCCACCGAGCAACTTCCATTCCCGAAGACCCAAAGCGTTGTCTCAGGGTCTCACGGACGCGTCTCAGTGCGATGAGTGCGATGGACACTTTTGCGCAAAGATGGCTTCACTCCTTCGCGGCCTCCCTTAAAAACCGGAGCAGCTCAGGATGTCAACCATGACACGGACAGGCTTCGTCCACCGCAAGCGACATCCCCGGCAACGCAGGCAATCAAACCTGATGAGACTCTCATTTTCTATGCTTTGGAAGATGGAGAGATGCCTGCGGCACAGCAAGCCACGGCACCGTGGGATCTGGCGGACACGTCCATCCAGCTCGGCTCGACATCCAGCCGGGGGTCTCGGCATTTGGTCACGTCTTGTTCCAGGCCGCGTGCGTGCGGCAGATGGTCACTGGCCATGCCACCAGCACAGGGCGCCAGTGCGTGCATGCCTCTGCATGCCACGCATCGCTGCTAGAATCAATGCCCCGAAAGCGCGGTCTCGGGCATCCCAACCCTCAGGTAACAGGTACAACAAGTGTGCAACATGTTAAAAAGGACTTGACCGCAGCAGCGCCCGGAATTGAAGCTTGAACTTCCTTCTCTCTTGCCTGCCAGCATAAGGAAGCCCAGGCACCCAGCACGATTACAATGCTCCGACGGTTTCATCTC